AAGAGGGATGTGAGAGGGATGTGATGGGGGTGGGGTGGGTCCTGTGAGTCAGGCCTAGCCCTGTGCCCACAGGTGGTGAGCTTCAGTAGTCTGCGGGCTGATGCCTCAGCACCCTGGATGGTGCTCTGCGTCCTGTGGTGCTCGGTGACCCAGGCCCTGCTGCTGCCTCTGTTCCTCTGGACTTGTGATCGTTACCGGGCAGACCTCAAGGCAGTCTGGGAGAAGTGCATGGCCCTTATGGCCAATGATGAGGACTCTGACAATGGTAAGGATGGCCTCAGGGTGGCCCCCGGGGAGGACAGCGCCTGGGTGAGATCGCTGGGCGTGGGGTCAGCAGAACAGTAGTGATTTGGTATGCCCTCACCACGTGACACTTAGGTGCCCCTTTTCACCACCGATAGATATTCCTGTGGCAACACAAGTCAGTACCATAGGCTGGCTTGTTGCCATGTTCTAGGATCGATCAGCCTGTGTGGATATTTAGTCCCATGGAGTTCCCACCCTAAATCTCATATGAGCAAATTAGTTCAATACGTCAACCTCCAGATTCAAAGCTAGTGCCATAGCTGGGATTTGAACTTGGAACCCTTGCCTGCCCTTTTCCAAAAACTAGTCCCTTCTTTGTGAGGATTCCCTAAAGCCTTCCCGGATGCCTTTCACAGTCCCATGCTTCTGTCCTATCCTGCAGAGACCAGTCTAGAGGGCAGCATCTCCCCAGACCTGGTATTGGAGCGCTCCCTTGACTACAGCTATGGAGGTGACTTCGCGGCTCTGGACAGGATGGCCAAGTATGAACTCTCTGCCCTGGAGGGAGGCTTACCCCAGCTCTACCCTCTGCGGCCACTGCAGGAGGATCGCATGCAGTATCTGCAGGTAGGTTGAGGCAGAGCAGAGGAACCTCATATGTCTGTGGTGCCTCCCCTCTCCCCTCTTCTCCTTTTCCCCTCCCCTTCTCCTCCCTTCCTCTCTCTCCCCTCTCACACAACCTATGCGGGTGGGTCATGTTCCCCATGCTCTGGAAGAGGGGCCCATTGGTGTCCTGTACTATGAACCTTCCCCTGAGCCTTCGCTCCGACCGACCCAAGCTTCAGCCAACACCCAGCTTCAAAGAAGTTGTCACCTGCCCCAAATCTCACTTCTCCAAACCAGGGGGCCCTTGTCCCTGACCCACACACTGCTCTGCAGGGCGCGGGGAGGCATCGGTGCGGGTTTCCAGGAGGGCAGCCCTGTTTCAGCCCGGCCGGGTGCTCGCAGGTCCCGCCCACCCGGCGGTTCTCCCACGATGATGCCGACGTGTGGGCGGCTGTCCCGCTGCCCACCCTCCTGCCACGCTGGAGCTCGGGCGAGGACTTGGCAGCCCTGGCACATTTAATGCTGCCCGCGGGCTCCGACCGGCGGCGCGGGAGCCTGCTGGCCTTCACCGAGGATGCGCCCCCGTTCCGCCCGCGCCGTCGCTCTGCCGAGAGCCTGTTGTCCCTGCAGCCCTCGTCTCTAGACGGCGGCCCGCGTCGCGCCCAGGACTCGCCTCCCGGCAGCCCGCGTCGCCGCCCCGGGCCCGGCGCCCGCTCCGCCTCGGTGTCGCTGTTACCGGACACCTTCGCTCTGACCACTTTCGAGCGCGAGCCGCAGGCTCTGCGTCGCGTGCCCGCCCTGGCGAGGCCCTTCCCCGCTGCCCCCGACGGCGCGGAGTCCGCTGAGGTCCCGACGCCCCCTGGTGGCCGTGTGCAACGCAGCCAGGGACGCCGGGCCGCGCGCGCGCATGCGGGTCCCCTACAGAGCAGCCTGAGCGCGTCGTGGGGCGAGCCGGGCGGCTTGCACGCGGCCGGCTGCGGCAGCACTAGCAGCTTTCTGAGCTCGCCCTCGGAGTCCTCAGGCTACGTCACGCTGCACTCGGACTCGCTGGGCTCCGCGTCCTAGGGCCCCCAGAGACGCCATGCAGACGGAAGAGGCACAGCACCAAAGATGCCGCCACGTTCTCGGCGTCAATAAGTGCCACCTGCACTGGGGGTGAATGGATGGTGGACTCTGCGCCCCTCTTACTGTTCATTCCTTCTGGTGTCGCCTGGAGGGATTGGCCATCCTGGATGGCTGCACAGGACATGGACCTGCTGCTGGGCACGGCATCTCCCAGGAAGGGGCAGTCTGTGTCTGTGTAGCGAATGGCATCTGCACGTTCTGTACACCTCTGAGGCTAGACCGGGGTGTAGGGAACCCTGAGACGGACCACCACGAGAAAGGACGTTCTCAGAGACGCTTAAGCCGGAAGTCACAACTGCTTCCAGTGCCCCGCACTGCCTCTGTCTCACCTCTAGAGTGTGCCATGTAGCGCATCTGCAAACACAGGGGTCTTCAGAGCCCAAACAAGTTCTGTTGAGCAGGCTTTCCATGTGGCCTGCCTCAGTTTCCCTATCTCCGAAGAGTGGATGACCATGACACATCTCTCAGGGCTGTTTGAAGAACACTCCCGATCTGTGTGTCCTGGTATTTGAATGGACCGGATATGAGAGGTAGTGAGGGCCCTTTGTTAGGGTCAGCCTTCAGCATGTGGCCCCCAGATCCGAGGCCTCTCAATCTCAATGACCTTTGCCCTCTTGGAGACTCGCCCCACTTTAGCTAAAGCACAACACCATGGGTATAACAGCCACCTCGATTCCTGTTAGTGTCCCCATGCTCAAGATTCCACCGTATTGCCTGTCTCCCACTATGTCGGCCGCCTCCGTGGTCCTGCTGTGAAGACTGCGGGTAAAGGCCTGGCGCAGAGAACCAAAGCACGTGGAAGTGGACTTCTGTGTCTCAGTGCCCGTCTCTAGCTTTGCCTCCCACCTACACAGGCAAAGTCCCTGGAAAGAGTGTCCCATACCCCACTTCCACTGCAAGAAGGGCTTTGCTCTCCACTGGGTGGACCCCTTTCTGGGTCTGGGCTGTGCCAGGGCCATAGGTATATTCCCAAGAGAGACCCAGGGCTGTGAGCTGTGAGTGGAGGGGTAGTGCTGTCACCATACATCAGGTCCTTCTGGGTTGGGACCTGGAGATAGTCTCGAGGCCAGCACACAGCCAGGCTGTGTCTTGTTCTCCTTTAGACATGGCCAGGCCCACCTCCTCTCCCTCTGCAGACAGACTTCAAACCACAGCTGGGGATGGGGGTGGGGGACTGGTCTATCCTTAGAGGCCTCAGAGGTCTCTGTAATCCCTGGTTAAGTGAACGATCAGCCTCCACAGAAGAGTAAGGCAGGGGACTGTGGTCCGTGTTTGGATTTGGGAGAAGCTGCCTCTGGCCATTTGCTGCTGTGCCTTCGGGGACTGACGTCATATGGGGGCAGAGGCCACCAGCTAGCCACTGTCTCCCTCACTGGTCTCAAATGACCAATTTACCACTCGGGTTTCACTCTGTATTTTGTATTCAACGGCAATACTTGTAATGGGGACATGGTCCCCCAAAGTCACTCCTAATTTTTACAAAACATTAAGGGCAAATCCTAAACAGAGAGCCCTTGGCACCTGGGGTTCTTTCCCACACCCAGTTCGGCCTCCCTGTTTGCCGATGGCTGTAAGGACCTTGGCCCTGGGGTTACTGGTAAGAGAACTATCTGTATACCACCACCCAGCCCAGAGTCAGGGATCTGTTTGTAGTTTTTTGAAAAACAGCATTTCTGTACAGGACCCAATAAAACTTTCCTCATGCTTTGCACACAGCCTTCTGAGGCTGGTTTCATGGAAACCTGTTTTTGTGGGGGCAACCAGCTGCTCCCCAAATCTTTAAGTCTGGAGCCTGAAGCCTAGGCCAGTACATACCAGACTTGCGGTGTCTCCTGCTTTCCCACCTGGCCAGCGAGACAGAACTGAGTCCACAACAGTTGTGTGTGGGCCACGAAGCCCGTGGATAAGGGCTAGCATTTCACTCCCACTGCGAACTTGATTCAGAACTAGGACTGGGTGTGTGCCCTGTGAGACCATTGGCCTCACGACACTCGCTGATGCCCCTGAAATTCACCGACTGCTCGGTCTGGTCCTCGCTGAGAAGCCGCCACCTGGCGGTAGGAGAGAAAAACACTCTTGTCGTTTCTCTCACCCGGGTAGCAGACCAGAGGTCACTTTGAGATGGCCACAGCTGGAACTTCCACACTCATCCTTACTTCAAAAAGCCTCCGGGAGGGGTGGGGCGTAGTGGGTGGGTTAGGGTGGGATAGTGAAGTTGCAGAGAATCCTGAGAAGACCAGCAAGTTTACAACCTCAGGGCAAGAGTCGCCCCAAATTTGAAATTAGCCCACAGACAGTTGATATGTGTGCTGCACTCAGGTCTCAGTCTCTGTATTCACGCTCAGTCTTTATTCATAATTGTACGTTGGTAATAGGAGGTGCTGGGATTTCGAACTGCACCCCAGACTGGTCCACGACAGGCGCCCTCTCCCCTACACAGTCGCAGCTAATGGCAACAGGCTCTTAGCTCGAGTCTAGAGCTCAGAAGGCACTACAGTGGTCTTTGCAGAACACAAAGTGCTCATGTCTCTGCAGTGCTACCCAGGGGTGGGTGGGACCCGGGATTCTAGATTGTGGCGAGGCGCGGCGTCGGTCGGTCGCGCAATGTACCTTAGGGGCGGAGCCAGTGCTCCGCGCCAGCACGCCGCTGCCATAGGTATTTGCGCGCAGGGAGGGCCTGGAAGAGCGCTCCAGCGGTGTGGGATCCGTGCAGAGGGGGTGATGGGTTGAGATGGTAGTGACAGAGTCTTGGGTGGTAGTAAGATGGGAGCCCCTTGCTGAAGGGGCGGGGCCCGGCGCGCTTTGTGCCGGTGGGAACCGAGCGCCCGAGGTTGGTTGAATGGGCCAGGGCGGGGCAGCGATTCTCCTCGCTGCGAGGGGTCCGCGCTGCACTGCTAGCAACCGCGACCTTCCCACCGTGACGCAGCCGTCGAGAGGGGGCAGGGGCGGACTACCAGACCCTGGTCCCTGGGAAAGGGGTACAGCTCACCCGTCCCCTCCCATCTTCACTAGAAGCGGGAGGTGGAAAGCTGGTCTGTCTGGAGTGGGTGAAATCACCTAGACGTACAGACCCCATCCGCAAATGGCTCCGTGGATGTCCCTGTAGACCCACCAGGCCATCGATTGATAGAATGACTCCTTGCAGTCACCATAGGTGCCCCAAAATAGTTTCCCCAGACTAGACGGCGGGGTGATGGGGGAGGGGAGGAGGGCTTGAGTCTAAATCCTTGCGGCGGCTTCACCAGGGCCGCCACAGGCGAAACCCGGGTCTCGGACTCTCGGCCTGGCAGTTTGATGCAGGTTCTGGTGCCAGAACGCCGGTGGACGACTCAAGGAGACTTCCAGGGAGAGGGAGAGGGAGAGGGAGAGGGAGAGGGAGAGGGAGAGGGAGAGGGAAAGGGGACTGCGGGGACTGAGAGCCACCTGCAGCGGGACCTGGGGCCCAGATGGCCGGGAGGCAGGGACTGAGAACAGAGGCCGCCTGTGGGCTGGTGCTGTCCGTGGTGCTGCCCGCCCTGCGCTGAAGCAGCAGGGGGCAGCGCAGGCCGCTGTGGTCCTCTCCGGGCCGAAGCCTCTGGCTCACGCTGGGCAAGCCGCCTTGGAAGGGGTAGTCCACCCCACTGGGTACTGGCCAGAGTCCTGGAGGAAGGAAGGGAGAAGAGACGAGAGTAGAAGGGAAGAGGTGTGGAGGGGAAAAAAAAAGGGAGAGAAGCATAACAAGAAAGAAGATGGTCTCAGTGGGGCAGACCTGTGCTCACACTCTACCTGCAAACCCACGGCCAAACAGGCCTTAGCTTCCCTTCTTCACATCTGCTCCAGCTAGGTGGTGGACCCTCCTCACCTAGCTGTCCACCTTGGCAATCCTCTTTACCCATCCCCCACCCCGTCCCAGGATATCACTTTGGAGCGCAATCAGACTGATCTCCGAGCCTCCCGCCTCAGCAAGCCCCCATGGCGAGCTGTCACACGCCCCTCCCAGTGTCACACCGTGGATCATCACTACCTTGCAATGAGTTCTGGAGGCTCCTCACGTACTTCACACTCAGCTCCAGGATATCCGCCTTCTCCAGCTTTCGTTTCCGTATCTGCCGAGCCATAGGAAGATGCTCTTACCCGGCAGCTGGGGAAGGGGTGGGCTGAGGACTCCCTTCCTCTCCTACTTTACCTGATGTGAGTAGTGTCTCTCCAGAAGAGACCTTAGCTGTTCCAGGGACACGTTGATTCGTGCACGGCGCTTCTTCTCCATCAGAGGCTTGGAGATCTGCAGGCCAGCCAGTTTTTAGAGGGAAGGCCTTAGCTTTCTAGGCCTCCACTCCCTCCAGCCCAGGGGTTCCCACCTCCAGGTTCTCACCCCATACCCTCCAGGACCCCAGACCTTTCTGAAGCTGCTGGCTGGGGCACTGGGGTTGCCCCTCGATGTGGGCTCAGTGCCCATGTTGTGAGGTTCACACAGGCAGTGAGCTGCGTTGCCTTTATAGGGCACCTCGTTTACATGTCAATGGACCTCTGGGAACTGGAAAAACTCAGAGGGGGGAGGGGACAGAAAGGGGCCCCTTCCAATAGCCCAGGCTGCCTCTGGCTTTCTGGCTTCCCTGAGGAAAGCTTTCTTCTCCCCCCCACCCCGCCACCCCTCCCAACTCACTACTACTCCAGCCTCTCCTCCCAAGCCCATCCCTTCCAGGCATTGTTGGGCCAGCTACTATAGGTTCTGAACCTCTCCACTGTCTCTGCTTCCAAGTCTGGCTGCTTCTTATCCAACAGTCTTCTGATGGTCCTCCGCTATGACAGGGAGCTTTGTGAGCTGGGGACTATCCTAAATGATGATAGTTGAAGCTCCAGGTGTCCTGAGGCCTGATAAAGATGCTGAGGCAAGGATGCTGGCCAGTGACGCTTCTCTGCCCCCTTCACGCTCTGGCCACGCTGAGATGCTGAATTAGTCTCCCTAATGTCAGGACAATGTAGCAATTTTCTGCCTGTGGTTGCTCAAAGCCAGTTGCAAGCAGGGCCTGTGGGGGCCACGCAGTAACATGTGTCCCATTAAAGCGTGCAGCCCGCCCGCAGGGCCACAAGGAGGCTCGAAGGCCTCCTCCTTCCAAGGACCCAGCGACTAGGCTATTGATAGGACCCAATATAGAGACTTGTAGCTGGCAGGCAGACCACCCGCCCCTGTCCCTGGGCTTCCCGGTTTGCCACACTGGTGGAGGACCAGTCTCTTAAGAGAAAATATGTGAGCCACACGTGCGGTGGCCCACATCTTTAATCACGGAACTCAGGAGGCAGGCGAATCTCTGAGTTCGAGGACAGCCTGGTTTTAGAACAAATTCCAGGACAGCCAGGAGAAATCCTGACTGGGGATCTGGTGGAGAGGAGAGGAGAGGGGAGGGGTGGGGAGGGGAGGAGAGGAGAGGAGAGGAGAGACAGAGACAGACAGAGACAGAGACTGTTAGCATCCTGTCTAAGCTCTACCCCACAGTTACCTGGCAACAGCCAGGTAGGCCGACTCACTATAAAAGGGGCTGCTTGCCCCCTCCTCGCTTTCTTGCCCTCTTGTCCTCTTGGTCTCTTGCCTTCTTGCTCCCTCTCTGTCCCCTCAACCCCTTTCCCCCTCTCTCCTCATTCCCTTACCCCCTCTCTCCACGTGCTCATGGCCGGCCTCTACTCTTCTACTTGTCTCTCCCTCCCCCTCTCTGCCTCTACCATCCTCTTAACTCCCCTCCCCATGCCCTGAATAAACTCTATTCTATACTATACTGTCTGTAGCTGGTCTCTCAAGGGGAAGGGATGCCTCAGCATGGGCCTGCTGAGATGTCCCCTTCCCCCACACCTCACGCCCCCTCCATAGAACATATATCCCTTCTTTTTATCTTTATATAAACACATCAGAGACAGTGGGCCCACAATTGGGGTTCAGCTCCTGAAGCTCTGAGGAGAGTCCAGACTCCACTGTAGGTTTCTGTACACCTTTGCATTGTCCACGTTGTTGGGGTACAGAAAGTCCAGCAAGGGAGGCTCTGGGAGCATCAGCTATAGGGCAGGCTGAGCCCTTCAGGAGGACTCCAGTCCCCCACACGACTCCGGTTGGACCAGGGAAATTTGACTGTCAACTGTGGCTGACAAGAAGGCCGACCTCCGGAGAAAATCTCGGGTTCAAACCCAGATAACTCCTTTTTTTACACTCTCTGGTCTTAGTTCGAGGGGCAGGAAACTGATCTAGCGTTCCTGACAATGCCGATGAGGCCGTAGGAAGTCTCCCAAGTCGTGCAGCATCCTCTGTGGGCAAATAATGGGGAGGAAGAGGCCTCTGTGAATTCTCAAGAGGGTAGTGCTGGGTCAAGATGCCCCCCAGATCGGGCACCTTTTTAACCCCCTCCACTTTCCCTCGCTCTGGGCATTGATGGGCTTCATCTATGGCTCTCAAACGCCTAGCAGCGTGGAGAATCGAGCCCCGCCCTCCCCCTTTCAGGCCCAGGGAAAGGTGACCACAACTCTGGAACGTTCCCCAGCCGCCCCCCTCAACCCCCGCTTTAGGGCGGGAGGGCTAGGTCTGGGTGGGTTTAGACTCTGGGGTGGTGATGGGACTGGAGCTCAGTTGGCGAGCGCTGCCACGCGCCGGGTAGCTTTAAAGCGCTCGGGCCAGCCGGGCTGGGGTGGCCCCCTTGCGAGTAGCTACCGCTCTGGGGCTGTGGCGGCACGGTACAAAGGCGCCGCGGGGCAGGCGGGCGGGAGGCACGGCACAAAAGGGGCAGCGGAGTGTTAAGGGCATTGTGCCGAGCGCACAAAGCGGCGCCCGCGTCCGCCTTCTCCGGGCCAAACTCCCGGCGCCCCGTGGCGCACGGGCTTCCAGCTGCCGCACATCTGTAGGAAGGCCGGGCGCGCGCCTCACCTGGGCGGGTCCTCTCCACTCTCCTTGCTCTCAAGCCAAGCCAGCAGCCGGGGCAATTTGTCTTGTAATTACAATACTTCTCCAGAAACTGTTGCCCGCGCCTTTCAGTCCAGCGCATTAGCAAACCAATGGTGCTGTGCACAGCTCGCCCGACGCACCGCGGGGAGCCGGGCACTGGGCCCGCCCCCTCTCCAGAATTAGGGTCACTATAAAGTCCCCTTCTCTGGCCCCCGCCCGCATCCCAGTATCCACGGTTGTCTGGGCCATCACCCCCTCACAAGCCTATGCCCAGGGATCCCAGCTGCACTGGGTGGTGCCGCACACGTGGGCGGCTAAGTGTTTCTTAGGTAGTGGAAAATTGACCACAAAATGCACTAATGCGCTAATTTGCAATGTTCTGCTTTGGCTGGAGGAAGTGAGGCCCGCCATGGGCAGGGACCGGATTCTCAATGGTTGCGCTCTGCTAGGATCTATTTAACCGGCCTGCCGTTCAGCTGCGTCATGCCTCCCACTGCCCGTGGGACAGTCTTTGGACAGGCAAAGGTCTCTACGTGTGCGGACTTCTCTGCGGTTCCTTCCTCCGTTGCTACAAAACATTCCCCAGTGCCTGCTCCTGCGGCCGAGGGTCCTGCCAGATCACGTCCAGAAGGGACCCCCCCCCTCCTCCCTCTTTCCTTCTCCCAGAGCTCTGAGACAACCCTCTTCCTTCCATTACAGCATTTTCCTCCAGACAGCCTCTTTTCCCGCTAAGACCTTTGCATCCAGCAAGGTCATTAGAAAAGATGACAGTTAATGAGATACAGGCTGGGGTCTGGTGCTCCATCTGCCCACGAGGATGTCTTACCTGCATCCACAGGCAGACCCACCCAGGAGAGAGGGAGCTTTCCCAGAGGTGAGGAGAGACAGCTGCTCTCCTTGTCCTCTGAGCAAGCCGTGTGAAATACTCTCCCTCGGACTGCTTGGAAGGTCATGGACCAACTTAGAAACCCTCCTTATGCAAACGGGGATGTAGGTCACCAACTCCCTTTCCATCTTTAGCACTCAGGGTCCCGAGGCGCCTGGAAAGGAGCACAGGCCCAGGAGGAGCAGGGAAACCCAGGCCTCTTTTGCTTATGCAAAGAAAAAAAATGTTCCTCTTAGAATTCCTGGGGCTCTCAGCCCACCTCCACTCCCTCCCCTTTCTCACGCTTTGGAACTTAATGGGGAAAAGGGACTGACCATGTGCCTTTGTGCCTTCCCCATTGCATTTCTCAAATCTGGCTAAAAGCACACATGGGTCGGAAAACAAAGTGGGGTAGGGCCTTGCAACCTCCGCAAAAGTTCCAACCTCCCTTCCCAAGTGCCAGCGGCAGCCTAGGGTCCTGGACAGGAGATACTTCATTCCTGTGCTGCCAAATTCAAACCATGGTGAGCCTGGCACAAACTGGTGTGGGTGCTGGTGGTGACTGGAAGAAGCCTGTTCTCCTCCGCAGACCTGTTTCACAGTGGGGCGAAGAAGCGATTGCTGTGTGTAATTAACTACCAGGGACATGGCAAAAGCCCTGAAATGACCCAGCCGATTGTCTGCAGATGGGGTTGGAGAAGCTGCAATTGTGTAACTCTCTTTAGCTGTGTTGAGACTTCCAATAGCCCAGCAGCCAAGGGCCCTTCAGGGGACAAAGGCGGGGACTTCAGTGAGTTCCTCCAACACTGACCAGGCTGGCCCAGCTCAGGAAGAGTGAGATCAGAGAGACCCTTTTTGTCCTGGCCTTTTGTATCTCCCCTGAGCTGGCTCTAATCTTTAAATATTTACCCGGCCCTTTTGTGCACATATGACTTACGTACGGACGACCGATGTGCTCATAAATTACGCGTCATTTACCAGACTGGAAAGAGGTGCTTTTATGCCTCCAGCCTGGGCCTGAGGGGAGAAGAAAACTTTCTTTTGGAATACTGGGCTGTCTCCGGCAGAGAGCCATAGCCACACTGCCCTCAGCTTCCACACCCACTCTGTGTAGGCCAGAGGCCTTGAATAACCAGGAGCTGGGGGGCCGAGGGGGGGGGGACACACACGCTCTGCAAAGGACTGATCTGGCATCCGTCATGGAGGAG